AAGTTAAACTGCATTTTGCAATTATTAATTTGTACGAAGTACTTCACGCAGGAAACAAATTTTAGCGGCGATTAGGCGATAAGTATCTACCTATCAAAACGTATTGGTTGTTCGCGAATGAAACGTTACATATTTTATACGGAATGTGTTCGAATAACATGTACAAGCGAGCAGGGAATGATTTCTCAGAAAAGAATAAAAAAAAAAAAAGATTTGTTGATCTGTGACTTCGTTTTCGAGGAGATTTATCGAGCAGACTCGAAGTTTGTTAATTTTACACGTGGCGGCATAGAATAATTAACAGTTATTAACATTATTTTACGTGCAAAGTAAGTAAAGAATGTGGAATAAAATTTTGGTGTAAGGTGCTTCGACTTTGAAAATTTATCAAGTACATAGATACCAAGGCGAATTTTAGTATGTATTCAAGATGTATTCTATTTTTTTCCTTTTTTTTTTTCTTGAAAATGAAGCTCTAAAGGAAAAATTTTTATTCTACATATTTTATTTATTTTTGCACGTAAGACAATTGCTCCTGTTCAAGGCTAGTTGATAAATGTCCAAAGTTGATTTCTCGAAAACGAAGCCTGAAATCAACAAATTTTACTCTATATGTTATTGCAAGAAATGAAAGACACCCACATCTATGGATCTTGGTTCCATTGAACGTCTTTTTACACGTTTTTATCTAATGTTCACGGATCCAGGACTCAGAAGTATCGCGGCGATCACCGATTCGCAAGCACGTTTATTTATTGTTGATTAATTTCAATTGTTTCATTGATGTCATTTATTGCCTTTTTCGGATGACCTCCAGCAAGCGACCAAAACGGCTAGGCCTTCAAATCAAGCCAATTATATTTTAATAAGAACAGGCTGGCAGGTCGTAGAATCGTTTCGGCAGAATCGAAAGAATCAGTCAGTCAGAACAAGAACAAATCAAAACGCGAACGAGAACAGGAATAAATAAAATTCTCGATAGAATTGATGAACTTTTCAGCAGAACCAGTATTAAAGAATCGCGTGTATCCTCGTGCAGAAACTCCGTTAGTGTTATCTGTATCATTCTATATTTTATTAAATTTTGATTGTATAAGTATTCTTCGCATTCTGTATGAATTTCAATTCAAGCCGTTGTATAAAACAACTTAACAATGTTTTTTTTATATTTCCCTTTGTGAACGTGACTCATCTCCTGCCTGTTTGCACATGTTATTCCTGTATGGATGAAAACCAGAGAAGCGGTTTTTATAATTTGTTGTAATTCGGGCGCAACGGGATGGCAAATTAACGCAAACGATTCGCATGAATTACAAGAGGAAGTTGGACGCGAACTTACAGGCGATGTAAATTTGCCGCTCGTCTGTCTCGAGTGTTAAGGATGGAGCTTACCTTATATCGATCGTATTGACTGAAACAAAAGGAAGAATGCAAAGGTATCTGTACAACAGCAAGTGCCAAAGAGACTGCCTTGCAAAACATCACTGAATCCTCACGGTACACGTATATTGCGTATAACAAGGGAACCAAGAGTAAAAACGAGTTGAAGAACAGCACGAATCTCAAAACTTTGAAACGAAGTATCCGAGATTTGCTAGCTGTCGGTGGAAGTGGCCAACAACAGCACAGTGCCACGGTAGATTCTACAAATGATATTGCCTTTTCCGGGGTAGCGTTTCGAAACATACCGACCGACGTCGAAACCAACAATGATAACGTTAAACAGTTACACAATTAACTTAACTTCGAATGTAATACGTTGCCTTGAATTAATTTATTAAAATTTCATTGCAATCGATAGTCGAATCGTGCGGAGATAATGATTAGGTTGCATGTACAACCCTTTGAGAATATTCTTGGTATAAGCGAAATGAAATGCAAAGGCACGTTTGTTATAACACTAATAATACCTGTGCGTAATTACTTTTTCATGCGTAATTACTGCTATGGGAGATAGTGCATGTGGAGTGGACTGCAAATCAATAGATACCTCCTGCAGGGCGGGATCCTACAAACTACACCTAAATAAATTAGAAATGTAATTATTAACGTAATTAACGTTATTAAGAAATAACGAATCGAATTGTGGAATCACGTTCAAGCGATGATAGGTAAAGACGTACAAGTGAACAAATAAT